TCCTCGATTAGGTTCTAGGATTATTGATTGTCCGGATGCAGCATTAATTTTAACGCTAGAACTACTAGATAGAAAGAAATGATCCATTCCTGATTTCGTTTTATACGATTTCTGACAATGTACAGATGCTCCTCTGAGAAATCGTATAAAAAGAAATCAATGGGCCATTCCTTTCCATCTGATAGTTCTAGTGTTAACCCTTTGGGGACGAAAATTCTTTGAAACGTACAACGGCTTCAGCAGATGAAGTTGAATTACCTATCAATTGCTTAATTAATATAAAAGAAGGAAGCTACGTGCTGATCGCTTGGTGTTTGAGTAATTAACACATTGTTCACCTATCACGAGTTAACTCGTGTTTTCGGGCTATAACGTTGTTGACCGGTCACGAGTTAATCCGTGCTGGCACTTTCATTAGCCATTTCAAGTTTCGAAATGCAGGGCAATATAGAACACTGCGAAAGCAAAATATTCAAAGCTATTTAAAAGATACGTTCAAAATTTCATTTCAATTCATTATATATAAATAAAGTATATTAAAGTTTATTTAGATTATCTCATTTTCAAATTTAACACGTTGAATGCCACAGGGTCACCGGTGACCCCAAGCAAATCGAATTACTATAATTCACTCAATTAAACGATGATTATTCGCAAACATTTCTATATTATAAATAATGCTATCCATTGCGGTGACATTCAGTCTGATGAACGTGCAATGATAATAATCCAATTCAGTCGAATGATTTAATATTGCATTTTTTCCATTTTGTGTATTTTGCTCTATAAAATGCGGCGTTCAACGTGTTAATTACGGAATAACCGGTGACATGGGATAGTTTCCGCGTAAAATTGCCGGTCAAGAAAGTGTTAAATCATCCGCGACCTGATCTTCCAAATATGAACACTCGATTTCGCTGAAATGTCAACATTCGTCCGCAAAGGGTTAACATTAGTGCTAAATCCGTAAATGATCTTCCACGGCAAAGGGGTTCACGTCGAGAGCGGAACCGGAGCGAGCTGCCGATCGTTCTGGGAGCGACGAAAGCGAGCGAAGAAGAGATCCGTGGCTCCTCGATTAGGTTCTAGGATTATTGATTGTCCGGATGCAGCCAGCGTCGGCCACGATGCGATCAGGCTCCGGCCGGTGCATCCACCCCTTGGCATCGATCGTCGCGTCGCTCGGGGTTCACCGACCTCGCCGGTCTTCTCTCTCCTTACGAGCGGCGTTCTCGATACGTCGCCGCCCTCCGCCCTCCGTTATCCGGCCGCTTCCCCGTCGTCACGCCTGCCCGGTCGCCGCCGCGCTTTTAACCGCGGACTCCGTTAAATCGGGCCGTCGTTAAATTTAACGAACGTGCACCGCAATATCGACCCGACTATATTCGAGGGAACGATCGGACGTACCCGGTTCCTCCGTTTCCGGCCGCGTTTCGGACTCTCGTTTCCGCGAACGATGCTCCTGTTAACCCTCCGTAGCCACATGCAACTTTGAAGTTACTTATCAGTATATTGGCGTCTTGTTGATTTCATTTTGCAGTCAAAATGGTGAATATAATTAACACGTTGAATGTTGTGGGGATCGCTGCTGACCTCCAACCAAATTGAATTACTATGGTTCATTCGATTAAACGATGATTATCTAGAGACATTTCTATATTACAAATAATGCTAATTTTGTCATTCAAGTAGAGGAACGTGCAATATTAACGCTATTCGATCAAATGATTCAATATCATATTCTTTCCATTTTGTGTATTTTGATTTTTATATTCGCGCGGCGTTCGATGGGTTAAGTAATCAGTTAACTTAGATTTTTATACGCTCTGAAAGTTCAACACGATTTCATGGTACAGAATACTTAAAATGGAAGAAATATGATATTAAATCATTTGATTCAATTGCGTCGTTATTATTGCAGGTTCATCTAACTAAATGTCACCACATTAGGTAGCACTATTTTTAGTATAGAAATGTTTTCAAATAATCATTGTTTAATTGAATGAACTATAGTCATTCGATTTGGTTGGGGGTCACCGGTGACCCTCATGTCATTCGACGTGTTAACGTCATTGTAACTTCCAAGTTACAAAGTATAAGTTTGATGAAATTATTGAAGTTATTGAATACATTGTTAATTCGTATTCATATGTGGATATTTATTAATTTTGTACTACGTAGATTTTTATAATCATGGACAAAAATTCGGCCCATGGAAGGTTAACTTGTTAATACATAAATTTCCATTACTCATGTTTCCATTTGATTATCAGTACAAAATCGTTACCACTCAATTTTTCCTAACAAAAGCTTGTCGTTTATACAGAAGAAATAAATTATAATCTTGACTTAAATAGATTAGTAAAGTTTAAAACATTGTTTCGTAAATGCTTCCAGCCCGTGTTTCACGGAACAAGGAGACGGTTAAAAAGAAGAGTGCGATTTTTGGGCTACCCGAGGAACAACAAATTTTGCGACAGAATCGAGGAGACGTTGGGAAAGTTATGAAAAATACGGTTGAAGATAAGTGTACGGTAGTAATTATAACTCACTTGATTTCCACTTTACTGTTTTGATTTCTATTTTTAACACTTCATTCGTAGGATGATCTGGACTTCGGACTGCCGGGTGTTTACACTTCGTCAGATGTGCAAGTTGTTCGCAGAGTGATTACAAATAGACGCAGTCATAATACTAATGGAGCATTTCGGTATGTATAATTGTTGTTTTCAGATAGTCTCGATGAACACGTTATTAGATGCATGCATGGTATGATGTCATGATCACGTTGAAGATAGAATTAACAAAAGTGATATTAATAGAAATAATCGTGTTACCGATAATAATAGTGATAACACTACTACTACTAATTATAATATTATTAATAATTGTCATTACGAATGTATAGGGTGTTTAGTGGAATAGGATGTAACAATTTGAAAGAACTTTCTCTTGTTTAGACATGAGTAACTCGGAAATTTCTTTTGTGTATGATATTTGGCGGGCCAGTTGGCTTTGTGCAATGGTGCATTACAAAAGTCACATATGTAACACGAGAAAACTCGTTTCCGGTCGCCAGCGTTATGTCATGTGGAAACGAGAAATCTCGTTCTCGGTCGCCAATGTGTTAACCAACTTTGGTTCGGTATTCGTAGGTGTCGCCAATCGTTAACCCCTTGCCTTACAATATCAGACTTTCGGTGAAGATTTCGAATAGAATTCAACGAATATGAATATTGTTCAATCTGTTTGAATGCGAATTACATATGATTCTTCTGTTATCAACGATTATACCTTTAGAGCAGCGGTTTCTAACCTTTATGCTACTCCTTCCTAAAAAAGATTAATTTTCCGCACCTCCCTATCTTTTAACCCTTTGCACTCGAGAGGTGACTCTCAGTCAGCGAAACTATGAATTTGAATATTTAGTATTTTCAATTAAACTTTGTATCGCTATAGGAAGTATTTAAATAAAATAGCTTGTCGCTTAATTTATCTGTGAATTATCGTTAAATTAGTTTCAAACAATGTTGTCTATATCTCGTCGAAAAATATTAAATATTTCCAGTGAAAAACTTTCGAGTGCAAAAGGTTAATAGATATAATAATATAGATACGTTTTAAATAATAATAACTTTACAAAATAAACATTACTTCACTGAATTTGTATTGTTACATTACGATATGAAGTTTATTTGTAGATATTATGGTATGAACATTAACGTTTTATTCATAATTTTGGTGCCTCCCCTAGGAATAGTCCCTAGGAAGTTTCTTTTATTTTCAATAAATTATTAGTAACGAAGTAGATCGATCACAGGCTAGAAAGAAATCATAGGGCAAAAGGTGAACCGGTTAATTGTGGGTTGTGTAACGATTAACCCTTTGTAGACAGGGATTTTCCAAAGTATACAAAACCTTTAACAGAGCAAGCTAAATAATACATACTTTCAATCGCAAAAAAAAGTCAAACCACTTACTGAGCTCTGTTTATTTGAAGAATTAAATTGTTCATTTACATTTTCATATTTCATATATGAAACTGAAATGTCGCCAGTTTAACGACATCCGTCCTCAAAGTGTGCTCGTCAAACGAATTAACACGTATAATGTCAAGAGGGTCACGAGGCGATCGTCATCCGAATTCAATTGCCGAGATTCCCACAATTAAACGATGATTAACTGAAAACATTTCCGTATTGTAAATAACACTATATAATGCGGTGACATTTAGCAAGACAAATCTGCGATAATAACAAAGCAATGCAATTAACACGTTGAATATCGTGGCGGTCACCGATGACCTCCAACCAAACTGACTTACTGTGGTTCACCTGATTAAACGGTGATTATTTGTGAACATTTTTATATTATAAATAATGGCAATACCAATAATAATAATTCAATTACATTTTGCCCATTTTTTGTATTCTTTTTTGTGAAATTTCACAGATAAATTTGTGAAAAAAATCACAGATAAATTAGAGAAAAAGCTATCTTCTTTCAATGTTTCACGTATTCATACAGTATACAAAATTTTATATTTTTACCGTATCAAATCACCTAGCGACTGGGAGTCGTCTCTCGAGTGCAAAGGGTTAAAATCATGCGGCGTTCAACGTGTGAACCGGCTACGAGGCGCACGCAAAGAAGAAAGAACGGCGACGAATGAAGCGTAAGAACGAAAGGGATCGTTTCATCTCGCGTTTCGCTCCGAAATCGCTTTGAAATTGCATTCGGCTTGCATACCGTTGAAATGCAACGCCGATGCTCACGTAACGTAGAATCTGCGTTGCTCACCGAGCGGAAACGGCCGTGCCGGTGGCGCGGATCGCCACGAAAACGCCGTTGCAGTCGATTCCGCGAATTCGCATCCATGACGGCGGCGGTGCACACGACTGGCACCCTCACGTGGTGCAGCGGACATGCGCGCACCCTCCGGCGAGCTCGGGGGGTATATAAACGAAGACCGCGAAGCGCGGAGTCTCAGTACACCCTCGTCAACGCGGCGAGTCCACAACGAAACACTGAACCAAGTCTTCGCGCGTCCACCGACCAATCGCGCGACTTCATCTGAAAGAAGAGCGAACAGGTGGGGACAAGTCGAAGAACAGAGCAGAGCCGAACAGAGGGAAAACAAAGAGAACGACCGAGAAACTATCACCGCGAGCAATCATTGAACAGAGCACCGCAACCGAGATGAACCCAGTGAGTCGGTCGGTGTAACCGTCGACGAGTGCGCGTGTTTGGTCCGCGTGGTGAGCGTACAATCGGTGAGTTCTCGAGCCGAGCCGGTGTCCTCCGATCGAATCACGTCTAACCGCCACGAGGAGACCGTGATGGAGGACGCGAGCAAGCTGACCGATCCCGAGGAGGATCGCCGCCGCAGCCCGACCGAGAAGAGCAAGAAGCTTGGCAATGGGTCAACGGGCCCGGTGGAGCCGTCGAGTCGACGACGAGACTTCGGCGACGATGAGTGTAGCACCGACAGCGGGTGCAGCAGCGGCGGCAGCATCGGCAGCGCCGAGAGACTGTCCCGCCGCGGTAGCAGCGAGCGTCTCTGTCGCGCGACCAGGTCGCCGAAATCTCATTGCTACCTGGACCGGCTGCGAGGCCGGCCGACCTGCTCGCAGGAGCGGTTGTCTAACGTGCAGAGGAGCTCGGAGAGGGTCCGAGCGAAATCCTCCAGGTCCTGGAGCCCCGGGGATGTCCGAGGGATCGCCAGGACCAACGAGTCCATGTCCTACTCGCCCAGCCCCTCGGACGTCCAGAGCAGCAGCAGCGACAGCGACTCGTTCAAGAAGTCCTTCACCGCGGACACCCTGCGCAGAGCCTTCCAGACGCTCAAGATCACCTCTAAATGGGAGGGCAAGGAGAACAAGCACGCTAAGAAGAGTCCCAAGAGGATCCTACGCAGCCCGGTGTCTTACACGTATGTTAGAGGTTTGTCTGGCCTACCAACGCAGAGGGTCCCCAGGAGCGCGGCCCAGCAATTGTCCATGCCGTGTTCGTGCCAGGAACACGTTGGCCTTTATCGATAGACGCGACGATCGGCCGCCACCGATCGGCTTCGTCCCGCATCCCCTATCTCCGACTCCGAAGGAAAGTCCAGCATCGTGGGACCATGATCTCGAACACCGGGATCCTCGTCGAGATCTCTTCCAGCGAACTACTCCTCGAACGAATCATCCCCTTTCTTTCGAGGCCAACGACCAACGGAGGTTCACGGGGAGCGGCGTGCTCGCGGATGGCAACGCCGGACCGGATCGTCGTTCCCCGGCTGCGGAACGGGAAGAGGACGGTGTCGGGGTATTCGCGTCGCTGACGCGTAGGTTACGCTAATTCGTAAATCGAGGATAGATCACGTAGACAGAAACATTTAGTCGTTCCACCACGTATACCACGCATACATATGTACCTTCTGTAGGAACGGTTAGCACGCCCGCGGATTACGGACGGAGAACGGACCCGTCGTTCGAATCGGCAGAGGCGTCTCGATTGAATCGATGTTCGAATGTTAAGCGTTAACGCTAGAACTACCGTACGGTCGGAACGATCTTTCGTGTTCTTGGTTCGAAATTCTCGGTATGGTTGAAGAGTATCAGATACTCGAGGCGATCCGGGTGATCGGGAATGATCCGCTGTTAGGATTTTTATAAGGACCACATATCAGTCGTGTTAAATGCCCGGTAGTTTTAGTGTTAAGCGAGCTGCTCGTAGGTCGAATCGGTAGACCCCGTCGTATGAGAGAGAACTAAATATTGTAGAATGTATCTTAGTTTATGGTAATCCTTATTCCGATTATTGCATTCGACGGTATTCTTGTTTCGTACTAAAGTCGATCGCGAAGGAAACTTCGAGGTGACCGATTCGGCGAATGAGCGGTTCAAGTCACTCGGCCGTTCCGGGGGAACGGGGTAAGTTCGTTTCACCCTCGAACGCGGGACTTCGGACCGAAAATTCGAATTTTATCGCATCTTAGATCTTACTCTGTGAAACTAGGAAAGAGATGAAAGTTATTTTCCCGCGAGACTAATGGCCGAAGTCCGACGATCAGGGGAGAGGAGTCTCGAACACCCTTCTATTCAAAATCTTCGTATTTAAATCAAACTGCGCTCATCTCCACGAGTATACGCGAAGCAATTTCACACCCGTTCGAGACCAGGGTCTTTTTGAAAAACGGACTCGCGGAGCGAACAGTTCCCTTTAGTCGTGTATCGTTATTTATCATCGTATATCGAGAACCTAGGACAGGATTTTTCTACCGCGTTACACACACGCCGTGTAATCGGTCTCGAATGGGTCGACCCCTTGCCGTACGGATCTCGTTCGAAACTGATCGGACTCGTTTTATCAACCCTTCGCACTCGAGAGGTGACCGAGTCACCATTCCCTTCGATGCGGTCAAATTGTCAAGTTTAATATTTAATATTGAACCCCGTGAAGCATCGCTATACGAGACAGGGAAATAGAATAGTTTTCATCTTTGATTCGTCTGTGAATTATCGCTGAATTAGTATGGAAGAACGTTACCTGTATCTCGTTAGAAAATATCGAGTGTTTCTAATGAAAGGCTTTCGAGTGCGAGGGGTTAACGATCGAAGGAAACTCGAAGGGGTGGCGTTACTTTTATCAACCCTTCGTGGATCGGATCGAGAATCATTTCTATAGGGGACTAAATTACATATCGAACACCTAAACGTTATAAAATAAGCGAACTATGGTACCAGTGTTTTATCGTTTGCACAGTGAAGCTCTTCGATCGCGACGTTCGATTTTAGAATGGTCCCCGAAGGGTTGGCTCGATCGTAAGAATACAGGAGTACGGCGAGGGGTTCACAGGGTCGAAGGGCGAAGGGGACAGGGAACGGGAGAAAGGGGAAAGCAAGGTAGCCGCGACCAATCGACGATGATCTCTTTCTCAGGCCTGTGAAAGCTCTCTTTCTCTCGAGTCTCGCGACGAGGCCGATTCTGTCGTGCTTCCCGCGGAATGTTACCTTCGCGGGAAGGTCGCGACCAAGTCGAGAGGTCGGTTAACACGTTCGAGACCGGTGACGTGGTCCTGCGTCATTCGACATTCTCTAGCCGAACACCGGCAACGTGGCCCTACGTCGTTTCACGTTTTCTTAGGACGTCGTAGACTCAACCCGTTGACCTACAATAGCGTATCGGACTCGTGACGAACATTTTAAACTGAACTCGAGAAATCTACGTGTTACTTACTGTTTCCTTCGAATGTAAATTGAATAGCACTTTTCTATTATCAATGGTGAAACTTTGGAGTAAACGTAGATGTAGGATAAGCATCGAAATTAGTTCTCTTCGCGTTATAGTTAAGAAACAAATGATAGAGCAAGGATTTAACCCTTTGCACTCGAAACTTTTTCACTTGAGATATTCTGTACTTTTAAAGTTTAACAAGAAATCATAGATAAATTAGGTGACTAATTTTCTTTTAATATTCCACGTGTTGACGCAGTATACAGTTAACGGTAAATCCCAGAGATTTCTAATTTTGCTGCATCAGATCTCGAGTGCAAAGGGTCAATTCTGTTTCACTGTTGGCAAGGTTGATTCTATCACACGTTTTTTATGTTCGCGCGTAATTCGAGTGGCAGACCTTTGATTCACGGTGTTCGGCTACAGACTTCGATTATAAGCGGTCGCGAATGCGTTAAGCGCGACGCGAAGTCTCGTGCATACATATTTATAAGTCAATTACGTGGACAGCAGGTTGGAGCCGCGCGAGCGCGAGCGCGTCTTCCGTCGAACAGGGTGGAAACGATCGAGGGTCGTTGGGAGGTGACTCGACGTCTCGCTTGACGGCACAGCTGGCAGGGGGTGTTTTCTGCCGTGCGTTTCGTTCGTAGGTTTAACCCTTATCACTCGGAGAATGTCGTAAAACGATTGCCAATTGCTGCGAATTCATTTTGTTAACACGTTCGCTGCCGGTGTCGCATATTTGCGATGATTTCCTGCAAAATTACATAAATTACATTTACCTATGTCTCCGTTTAATATTTCTACGTCACGCAGACTTCTTTGTCTCGATTGTTGTTTATATTTCCTAAAGACGATATGTTTTATCTAATAAAATATCGTAAGCACGGAGACTGAAAGAATCGCTGGTAGCGAATGAGTTAATTTCAAAGAGGAAATTCAATTATGAATGTTGGACGAAGCACGAAATCATATGAAAAAATGATATATATTTTACTCTTGCAATTGTGTTGAACCTATTCGTGGTTAACGGTGAGACTGGTGCTCGGTTAAATTTGAACCCTAGTTCTAGTGTTAACTCTGTCGAGACAGAAATAGCTATCCGGATAAAGACAATTATTTCCTGTATTATCGTGTAGAGGTAAATTCGTTGCTATGGGAAGACTAGTAAAATCTATCAGTAGAAACCAGTAGGAAAGTTCTAGAGTACAGTGTCAGGTAATTTGATTGCCAGTTCAACTCTTTTCGAAGACTCACAGACGACCGATGCTCTAGTAGGAATTTGAAAATCTAAGCGAGCACTGCTCTAGCCAATCAGTATGGCGAACGAGACGAGACCTGACCAATCGCACCCGCATTCCTCAGTGGAGCCGTCAAGCGATCTCCCTCTCCACGGCAGTCCGTACTGGCGCGGGGATTCCCATTAATCGTGGTGCAACCTGGGGACAGCCGTCTCTTTCCGCGAAACCGAGCCGAAACCGCGGAGTCGAGTTCCCATTCTCGTTATCGTTGTATTATTAGAACTGTCGTCGCGTCGTCTTTGCAATAATTGCGCTCGAACGGTATCGTTGGATAGCTCGTATTGGGTCGAGGAATAAATCACTATCCTTCGTTCGACGCTCGAGGGTTGCCACTGAGAAAGAGAATCTTTTGGCAAACGTCACCGGACAGTTCGACGGTTCCTCGACCCGATATCGTAGATTACGAGGTATCCGCGCAGATACCGGACGGGTTTCGCAACACTCGAATCCGAAAGAAACTAGAGGTACTGTTAACCCTTGTCACTCCAAGCAGTCTCACTGTCAGCCACGATTACGTCGGGCGGTAAAGCATGCATGAATTAATTTATTGTTTCAACAACTGGCAATTGTTCTACGATATTTCTGGAGCGATAAGGGTGAGAGCGTGGCATTCACGGCAGAAACGGGATGAAAGAGAAGAAAATTTCGCGCGATCGTATTGGATCGTTTGTTAGACACGCGAATAATTGGAGACGACCATTCACGGATTCCGCTTACTGCCATCGCGAATCTCTTGAAAACCGTTTTGTCCTTCCCGCGATCCCGGTTGTTCCACGATTACCGGGGCGCTCCGTACAGTAGAATATTCTCGTTCTTTAAGGGTACTTTTAAAAACATATCACGATCCGAAGATCTCGCGGCCTCGGGTCCTCCGAGTCTGTCGTCTTTTCCGCTGGAATGTTAGTCGAGGAAACGATCATTAGAAGTGTCCGAAATCCTTTCAACGGGATTAACATGTTCTCTACCAACGTTACATATTTGTAATAGCAATCTTATATTTTACATAAAGAAAATGAAATTTATTCTACAGATATTGGTATTTCAAGTTACAAGATATTAATTAGATTTAGGAAGTCAATCACTTGTTTTATTTTGAAATATTCTGAGAAGATTCGTTGGATCGAGTAGAATATTGCAATTGAGAATATCGCCTAAATTATATTTAGGAATTCAATGACTTTTATTTTGTCGATATTTTGAAAAGATTCGTTGGATCGAGTAGAATATTGCAATTGAGAATATCGCCTAAATTACATTTAGGAACTCAATGATTTATTTTATTTTGTCTCTATCTCAAGAAAATTAGTTGCTCGAGTAAAACATTATAATTAAAAATATCACCGCTGAAACAAATGCTGATAGCGAACGAGTTAACACTAGAATAATCATTCGAATCTTTTCCAAATTCTGATAATAATTCTAAGTAACCATTGCAATTTCAATCGACTAAATCAACGTCTTCGATAATTCTTCTTGTCCTCGATGAAAGAGGAATTCAGAAATGGAGCTGACTGACTCGA